GTGTGTGTGTGTGTGTGTGTATACATAGGTAGTCTTGGACTTACAACCATTTGTTTAACGATATTCAAAGTTACAACAATGCTGAAAAAAGTGACTTATGACTGGTCCTCACACTTATAACTGTCGCAGCATCTCCGTGGTCACATGATCAAAATTCAGGTGCTTGGCAACCAGCATGTATTTATGATGGTTGCAGTGTCACAGGGGTCACGTGATCACCATTTGCTACCTTCCCAGGGAGCTTCCAACAATCAAAGTCAATGGGGGAAGCCAGATTCGCTTAACTACAGCAAAAACGGTTGTAAAATTGGGCACAACTCACTTAATGACTGCATTGCTTAGCAACAGAACTTCCAGTCCCAACTGTGGTTGTAAGTCAAGGGCTACCTGTATATATCCCATAGACCTATGTACACTGGTACAATGCCATTTGTCAATAAGTATTCATGCAACAAGTTAATAAAACAAAAGTGATTTATATAAATGCCAAAGTGGGTGAATGAGGAGAGGAAGGGACAGGGAGTAATCAGCATTCCATCCAGTTTTACAGGCAGCTACCTTTTATTTGCACAAACAACACAGTGTAGAAGATGGGTTTTGAATATAACCAATGCACAGACCCAATGGCAAATCTAGCAAGTTAGTGGATGTAAGTATAATTATTCACTTGCACAGCATAACTTTAATAACTGACCAACTGCCAATCAGTGTAACAACAAAATACTACTACTAAATCAAGATTTGTGTGTCATGCAGCTGCATCACTCCATATTTCAAAACTGGAAAAGAAGGAAATTGGCTATCAGATATGAGATAGAAAAGGCACATAACATAAGTAGCATTACTGACATAATTATAAACGCCCCAAATATACAAAGCAGCATGATTCTGAAGAAAAGAAAGAAGACAACTAAAAGTGGTTATATTCTCATAAGGAAGCTTTGGACATAAGTATTTTAAACCACCTTTTCCCAGAATCACACTGCTGCAGCAAAGGCAACCACTTGATCCCAGGAAAAGATGCAGCTGCTTTAAGCAGTTTCCAACAGGTGTTTCCTAAGCCCCCCTGCATGTTTTGAAGCATCTTGGTGCCTTCAGAAGCAAAGCAGTGCAATCTAATTCTATATATTAGCAAAAGCATGCACAAAAGTTCCACTTTGATTAAAAGGTACCGTTACTTTCTGGATAGGTTCTTTTGTACTTCTATTGGATACTCTGTGACTTTCTAACTTGTATGAACCTTTATAAAATCTTACTGCTGTAGGATAGTGAAGAGGGAATGCAGGGAACACAGACTATTTTCTGAATAATAATAAGGAGCTTTCAAGTTTTATTATTCTGATGCAGTACCACACTCTAAAAGAAAATCATCATATAGAAGTTGGGTTTTTCTTCTTGCTGATATAGCTGGAAGAAAGAGTTTTGGTCTGTTGTTGAAGTTCTCTTGCTAGTATTACCCCAAAACTGCACTTTTATATTACTATAATTATTCAAGTACTTTCCTTCATTTTTCTACAGGTCCAGACTGAGAAAATGACACCTAATTACAGCCTTTGCAATATTGTATACACAAACCCAGCTTGTTTCCCTGTCTGCATTCTCATGTTATACCTCTTCAGTCTTTTAAAAGAAAAGTATTTAAATTCTATGTTTTGCTTTTGGCTGTGAATCATGAAAACCACTGACTTGCAAAATACATTTATTTTTACAACTCAAAGATCATAAAACACAAGTTCAG